AGCTGATCAAACATATGTATGACAATATCTTTAGTTTTAATGTCTTTCTCTAGCATAATAATGCATGAATAACTCACATAGAGATCCCCTCAGTCTTTCTATGAATAGAAGGGAAAATTGAGATAAATGCCTTTGAAGGATTTTTTTTCTCTTCAAAGTCCACTTAGATATTTATAGATTTTTCTAAAGCTTCAGACAGAACTGGCTCAATTTATAATTGTTAATAAATATTGCATATGCATTTTTAAGTACCTTGAATGTTTTCTCTCAAAGGCAAACAACAGTTACAGGATTGGGTTGTTTTTACTTTTAGTCTTAGAATGCTATTTTCTCCATCTGATCAGTGACCCTCAGCCTAATCCAATAACCTTTTATATTTTTATGTTTTTTAATCCCCGCAGAAGCACTGAGATAAGATGGGCTAGAGAACCTAAATGGTACTCATCCAAAAATGTTCCCAATCTCAGGATCTCAATTGCACAGCTGGGTTCTATTGGTCACATGTCAGCTTCAGAGCACATCTGTTCATTCCTCAAGGATCCACTAGGCCCCATGAACACAATGTGCTCTGTGTACAGTACTTTACACCACAAAACCCAGCAGCTGCAGGGGTGAGAAAATCTCTACTTCTCAAGTTTGTGTCTCTAGGCAGTTTGAGTAGGGTGTTTTCTATCTGGCTTTCTTTTGGTTGCCTGTCAGTTCTGACATTCAGATGCCTGTTGGCAACAAAGTTGCTTTTGCTATTCTCAGGACAGATGTTTCTAGCCTGGGAAGAGACAAACTAAATTTTTACTGGAAAGTAGGAATTCTTGCCACATTCAGGCACCAAACCTGAGAAAACATAAGGAAGATCCTGGCTACAGGGTCAAGAATGGAAAGGCAGGCCACTGCCAGGAAAATAATGTCCAGATCTGAAGACTTTTAGTTTTAGCCTTTAGGAAAAATATTTGTGTCAAATCTCCCCATCTCTGCTGCTTCATGATGGCCAAAGGACACTTCCCTAGTAGGGCATGTGGGAACAGTGCAGACACCACCTCACCTTGGAAAGTGGCATCTTTCTATTGAAGCATTTTGAGAACTGTTGGTCATATGAGGAAGAGAGAGACTGAGACAGAGACAGAGAAAAGGTGGGGGGAGTCCCATTCATGTACTTTTGAAACTGTATGCATTGGAAAGGTTTGTGTGTTAATGAGATTGAGTTGGAATATCATGAGAGTGGTGCAAAAGAAACTGAAGATACATCAAAAGTGAAGACATTAAACATTAATGGGATAATGTCATAGACCTCATTAATTTGATTCATAGAAAATTACTGTTGTAGATCAAGGATGATATTATGAAGTCTGCTTTTACAATCCTCAAAGGCCTCATTGCTAGTTTTTGGAGGAAGGAGTAGTCTTGGGTCAACATATTTTAAATGAGATGTGAGGGACAAACATAGCTATAATATTGTAACTAGTTTTTCCCCCCAGGAATGTGTCTATATTTATATAGCATAACCTGTTAAATCTGTACCAATGGCTGCAAATACAGACCACAGAAGCTTCTTTAATAACACACATACACCAAGTCCAAAATGTTCTACTCTGTCATTCATGTGTAAATCAAGTATATTATTCATATACTTCATCGACTTCCTGAATGCGTGCTAAAAATGCCAAGGAAAAACTCGTTAATCGTGACATGGTGACTGCTCAGCCAGCTCTGAGATGTTGATGGAAAAAGAAAAATTGTCAAAGGGCCTTTTTAAGAACTTCTGCAGGTTACACTCGCAAATCGGAATTCAGAGAACATGAATTTCCTCATTCAGGAAGGAAGGATTAAAATCAAACACCCTCCAGTGGTTGCATCTAAAAACTGCCTAGTTGTCCCAAATGGCTTACTTGTAAAAGGAGTCTTCCTGTGCACTATTGAGTACCCAGGATCCAAATCCCTGCTCAGTCCGAGGGTTGTATAATCTCAAAAAAAAAAAAAAAAAGATCTTCTATGGACTATAAAATCTCTGCCATCCTAATTACTTCTTGGGTGGTTTTATGTTAAGTTCTTTAAATGTCAGGGTATACTAGGTGACAACGTCCTATCATCTCTTATTCAAAATGTTACAGTCCTCAACTCAAATCTTGTAGTTTTGAGCTAGGAAATATGGCCTATATAAGTGTGTTGATTCAATTGACCTGTCAGGTCACCAAAATAGACTATATGGGAGCATTAAGAAGACATAATTTTGGGATGCATCTTTTTCACCCTCATGTTGCCTGGGTCTGACTCTCACCTATGCATAATAGCTTCTTTTTTACATAATAAGCAAGTGTCATCTACTGAGTCTTAGGTAAAGTGACTCTCCTGTGTTCCATGTCATCCCTGTTTCTCTTTCTGATGTACACTATGGTGAAGCAACGTTTTCCAGTTCAGAAGAACTGGCGGAGTTGATAAAGACTGCCTATTGTGGTGCTAACAATTTTGGAATGCAAGAAGACAGAAAGCCCAGCACCACATTGAATCCTACTGAAGACGACTTAATAGAGAATATAAATTCCACTTTGGTAATGATATGAATTTAACACAATTTAGGATATTATCACTCTAAAAATTGATTTTGCAGAATTTCTACATTTAAAAAGATGCTCCTGGCAAAATAGAAAAAAGAAATAGTAATTTAATAAATTAAGCAAAAATAGTAAAGAAATGTTTTTATTTTTTCATCAACGTTCAACCCCTTATAAATATTCTTTCTAATATAAAAAAAAGCAATATGCTCATTAGCTTATTTTAAGGACTGAGACTATTCCTATGAATTACAATTTTTTTCTTTCAGTAGAAAGCTCTTTTTTAGCTTTCACATTTAGGTACTGTCATGCAAAAATTTAAACTCTTACTTATTGCATCCTCATTATTTCCTCCTATCTTAGACACTGCTCAAACAAAATCAATAAGCACCTATGAAGCACCCAATGAGCTCAAATTTTCTGCTAGATCATGACAGGAGTATGAGGATAAATGAAATACAGTCCCTGCCCTCATGGAGCTTACAATTTTGCTGAGTAGATAAGATATAAATAGATGGGAAACTATATAAAACAATAAAGGAATGTAAAATATCACAGGAGTAAAAAAGTTTATAGGCCAACAAGTAACTGTGCACGGTGAACTCTAGGGCTGGAGAAATTATTATGGGCTTTTTACATAGACAGTGATATAGAGAAGGCTAAGTTAAGATTTGCAAAGATATAAAAGACTAGCATGAACAAAAGCATTATAAGGACACACAATGTATATCAAAGGCACAGTGTGGTTAGAGTGAAAGGTATAAGTAGGGGAAATGGTAAGAGACAAGTTTAGGAGACCAATCTGGGCTAGCACCAGATTACAGAAGTGTTTAGCTGAGGGTTATGGATTTAATCCTATAGGAGATGGTAAACGATTTAAGGTTGAATGGGGGAGTGACATGATCAAGGAGTTATACACATTTGTGGAAATAGATGGATGAGAAGAAAAATAAGGAAGGCGGAGAGTAATCAACATTGTAGTAATGAGGTGATTTGGACCTACACTGGAATGGTAGAACTGAGAATGGAGAAGATGCAATGGACACTGGATTTGGGAGAGAGATACAGAAGAATCGAAGATGACTCAGAGGTATCAGCAGGTTTTTTGGGGTTCAATCAATGTAGAAGTGGTATCTCAGGTCATAAAGATGAAGGGAATTACAGAAAGAAAAGAGTGGAATACTATGAGAAGGAGTTTGGGGAATTATTATGTTTGTGGTACAGGGAGGTAATGGACCAGTAAATATTGTCTTCTTTGTTTCTATGTACATTTAAGTGTGCGTATTCATGTGCATACAGAAACATACTTGGATGCATATGCATTCTGAGAGAAGAAATAAACAACCAAAATCCAAGTGTTTCAAATTATCTCCTTTCAGTTTAGCGGCCTTGGTGGACTGCTGATAATCTGAATAAATGTTATGGAGTAATAGCATGATCTAGTGGGTTGAGAACCAGAGTCAAATAGATCTAGGTTCTAATCCTAGCTCTACCATTTGCCAGATATCTGATCCTGGACTTCCTGAACTTACTTTCTTATCTGTAAGGTGGGGGTAATATTATCAGCTCTTTTTCCACATAGGGTTATTATAAACATGAAATGAAATTGTGTGAAAATGGAAAATATAACTTTAATTTTGTTATCACATGTGTACAAATTACCATATTCTGATTTGTAGTCACATTTGAATCCCCCCCTCAAGGATATTAATATAAACTCACATGCAAACTAATTCTAGCAGTTTTATTTTCCCTCAATGGCATTTTAAACTCTTTGCAGGGAGGGACATATTTTAGGCTTTTCTGTATTCCCCTTACACTTTAGCCTGTACAGCACTCTGAACATGAACAGGAACTAAATATATATTTTTTACTTGAACCTGAATTTATTCTAAAAGCTCAAATATAGCTTTCAATATGTAGCATAATTTAAAAGTAGCATTCAAGCCCACATAGTCCAGATCTTCTTTAAAATAATTTAAATACACAGTGAAAGTGCTATACCCAATGGCCTCACATACATATTTTTTAATGTGGATTTTTTTCTATAAATCTGGAAATGAATAACAAGGCATATTTTCAGTTATTAGTGACAATGACTGTAGGTACAAGTGGAAGCACAATGACAGAAGACCAGCTTTGGAACTGAAATGCCTTGAAAAGACTTTGACTCATAGAGATTTTTTTTAAGGATCATCATTTTCTCAGAACACTAAGGCAATATAATAAAAAAATACCACTAAGGCACAATTTTAAAACCGTACCTAAAATGTAAGTGAGAGTGCCTTTTAAAAAATTTGGGTGCTAGAACACAGGCATAGTGGAGAAATTTGAATTTAATAAAATCTCCTGTGAGAAATAACTATCTAAATACTTGGCTCTGACATCCAAAGCCTCCATATAACTTCATAAAAGAAACAAAACTTTTTAAATACAAAACTTGAAAGTACTTACTTCCACTTGGAATCAGGTCCCTTTCTGGGATGAAGAGTTTATATCCATAGTGTTTTTCCAGGACATCTGGCAGTATTTCAAGAGCAAACTGCTCTTCTTCAGGATTGTCACAGTCTAAAGTATCTTGGTCCACTTTTGTGTAAGACAGATAGGCATCATATTCTTTGTTGTCTTAAATATAAAGAACAACAAGTGGGTTTTATGTATTAGTAGGTTCTCTTTAACTACTAAAATTCTATAACCACTAACAGGCTGAACTAAGCACTATAATTAGTGACTGTCATTAACAATTAGAAAAAAAAATAAACCACATGCCATGTTATAAGAAATCTAGTACATTTCCACATAACCTAGTCATATGACATGAGCTTAAACTGTTATGGTAATGGGAAACCTATAGTCAGGACAGAATAAGAGAGAGAATTATTATTTTGACTTTTGGTGACTATACATATTTGTGATGTTCAGTGATGTGTGAATGATTAGCTCAGTGTGTTTGAATGCAGGACTAAATAGACCAAAGTCATGGATTTGAACTTTCTCTGTGCCAGTTGGCTTGGCTCTGTTACTTGGTCACAGACTATACCTCTTTTGCACAAATATGTGCAAGAGATCCAAGAGGGGCTGGGCCCTAGAGTGTGGAAGATCAAAATAATCCAGCTTCACTCCTGGAGACACTACTCACAACACATGCCATATTTCCAGTTGGTTAGTATCGTCATCTTCATATACAAAAAGTAGTTCATTACTAAATATTAGAGACAGCAGCTGGGTTTTATACAAGCGCATTGTCTGTTATTCTTGTTCAATCCATGGCCAACTAATTTGACACAAGCTTCCAAAAGACGCCTTTGTTTCAAAATATACATCCTTCCATTATTGCTAAATTAGGTTTTCCCTTCACACATTTAGTCAGGGAGTTAACTGTGCTTTGAGAAAGTATTTTTTTTTCCACCTTTGCTGTACTGGCTCAGAGCCAGTCTCTCCAAAGAGAAAATGTAAAATGTTTATATATTTTTCCCTAAAAATTATTAATGAATACAGCTACTCAATCTATTAGTCCCCATTGGTTTTAGAAAGGCCACATTGGGAAAGTTATAGTGGTTTTCAAAATTCCCTTATTTATATAAAATTATTTTTAAAAGTTAATGTACTGAGCATAGACTTAAGTGAAATTGTTAATATTTAGTAAACCTTGTTACTTGCAAATAATAATTTTAAAAGATAGGCAAATATTTCAGGATTTGTTTCTAAACCTCATCAATATTTTCCATTAAAGCAGACCTGATTAGAATATCACTAAAACCTGACCAAAAGGTAATTTACAGAATGAAGCACTCATCTATACCATTAATGATTTAGTTCTACCTACTAAAGGAGAAATAAATGATAGGCATATGAAGAGATATAAATACCTTAGGGTAGAAGTACGTGGGACCCCCTGACTATCTAGAGATATCTGAGGCAGGATTATATTGTTCTAATTCTAGTAAGATTCCAGTCTTCACCACCCCCACATGAAAGGAACTCTGGTTATTTATGTTATGATGGTGCCTGAAGCCAAGAGGTTTTTCTTTAGCATGTCCTCTGGCTGGAAAAGGCTTCCGTAAACCTTGGTTGGGTTACTTGATTGCCAAGAAGCAGATGCACATGAAGGACTGCCCTGGATAGTTGAGATCATTTGGCTTATAAATGGGGCACATTCCACTCTTATGCATAAAACACCACTTGGAAGTGAGAATGTTCATAAGCAATGCTAATGTAAGAACCTCCTGGTAATCTTAGCACCTCTGCCCCTGTTCCAAACAAGCTCAGGATGCACCTGCAAGCCCTTGACTTTCTCCAGCTATAATTACTCACCTGGGACTTAGAGCTGCTGATGATACACAGCTGGAAGAATAAAATAGGCCAAAGGACAAACAGATCCATTCCTATGAACAGAATGTATTTCATTGTTCTTAATGGATGGTGCTGCTGCCTCAAATTCTGCAATGTCAGACTAGACCCTTGTTTCCTCTGACTTTGATAACTTTTCTACCTCACAAACTCCCTAAATTCAACTACTTATTAATTTATTCTACAATGATTTGTTGAGCATCTACTATGAGCTAGCCATCTGCAATGACTACCTCTTTCACTCATATGACCAGGCCTTTATACTTTTGCCTCCATTGCTTATCGTAAGACTATTTGCCCTCCAACCATGCCTAAACTCACATATTCCTGGTCCTTATGTGCTTCATCTATACCTTAATATAGGTGATGCTACAGACTTTCTTCTAGAAAGATATTGCTATATTTGCATATCCCAAATCAAGTTATAATAATGAATATGGATGTCTTTGATATGTGTTAACACCCAACACATCTGGATAATAAATTTTACCTAACATTCTAGAAGCACATCATTCTTTTGGAAAAGGGTTGCTTCTGATTTTAGTCATGTCCCTTTAAAATGAACTAAAGATAAAGAGCTTATAGTGTCTGGACAGAACAGGAAGAGCGCTCTCAAAGCCACCATGTCAGATGTCCCAGAAGCTCTAGGATGCCAGCTAGTGAGCAAGCAGTGATGCAGATGCCACAGTTTAAAAAATGCACTTCAGCCTTATATAGACAGCCAAGAAAACCTCATGAATGGCCACAGCTGTTGCTCAGAGAGGAGCAAGATGGAAGAGCAAAATCAACAACATGATGCAAATAAGGTTACAACAAGGCCTGAAAATTGTTTTAAAACCAAAAGGCAATGCAACAACACCACTTTGCGAGGCAAGGCTAATGAGCCCTCCTCTGTGTTAAATCATGCTGACTAAGCTCATCTAAGGAACCAGAAAATAGAGCACAATGCAGATGGCAGAGAATCGTAAGTTAGAGGACTTGCACAGCAATCACCATAGGCATGTTGTTCCCAATGAAGAGAGAAGTTATGAGGAAGGGAACCAAATTATGGAAGAATTTTCCTGTTGTCACACCTGTCCTTCCTGGTTTTTAAAGCTCATTTTAATCCTGTTCACCACCAGGAAGCCATTCCTGTTTACAACCCAGTTCTTCTAGGGCTATGCTAAACGCAGGGTTAAGTCCTTAGCTTCTAGAGTGCAGACTGTGTAACATAGTTGATTTTATATCCCTAGTGCCTACTATAGTATGTGTGTGTGTGTGTTGATCCAGATGAGGAATATAAGTAAATATATCATACATAATGCCTGCCACATAGTAGACACTTAATAAATATTTAATGACTTAACAACTCAAAGGTCAAATAAATGAAGCAATCATGGTTTGGTGGATTAAAATGAAATGAATTTCATAAAAAATGGCTAAGAAGTCAGTCTGTTGGATTGATTTTATTTTATAAAAATAAGGCATTTTTATAAGAACTTTCAGAAAATGCTACTATAGATATGAATCAAAAAGAAAACATGAACAAAAAGTATAAGGATAAAACTAAGTTGTGTCCATGAGATGCCAAAGTATTTAAACAAAGAAATGAAAAATTCAGAAGTTATTTAGCTGGTATTTGGCATCATGAAACTGAGTATTTCTAAAAGAGCTTTAATATTCATTTATTCATCCTCACCACATACCTGCTGACTTTTTAGTTTCCATTCAGCTAGTACAGGTTGTGGATTTAAGGTCTAAGTTTCCATGTAGGAATAAAAAAATATTTGAATTCTCCTTCCTAATGAAAACCCTTGAAGTCCCTTCCCTCCACATTATATTTTCTCCCTAAAACAATTGGTTTGGAATCAATACATACAATTCTCTAATAAAAATGCTCTAGATTATTTGTCATCTTTGACCACATGGACCACACTGGAGATGTAGAAGCAAAGTGGAATATTTTATCCCTGAAATGTCCTATGATGCTAGCACGAATTTAATCTTACAAATATGTACTACAATTGATCAGTTAATCTGGATTATTTGGTATGGGTGATGAATATAATTAATTACTGCAGATTAACTTAATAAATTGTATCATCACTTATAGAGAGTATTGACAAATTGCTTATATTCATGACTCAAAACAAATTAATCACAGGAGCCTCCTTTTCATGTTCTTTCATTTAGACAATGCATCTTACATTACCAATTGGATAATTTAGCCACTTGTTGGCACCTGGGAATCAGTGATTTTTTCCTCAGTAGCACATTTCATCTAGTTATTTTACATGTGCAGGTAAGAAGTCATATTTTTCTATATTAATTCCTGTATATAAAAACTGATTGACCACACTTTCATATATATTGTTGGAGCACATCATTATGGTTAGAACAGGCTTTAATCTCTCATTTTGAAACTATGAATAAGGGTCTGTAGTACTTTTAAATGGGATGCTATAATAATTAGGTAAATATACTGCTTTGATAAAGAGCATGCATATGTACTCATCAAACAGCATTTCTCTAATTGACTATGAAAACATAAAAGTCAATTAAAATCCACTCATATCATTATTTACATAATAGAAAACATAGGGCCAATAGCAAAGATTCCTCAAAACTTGTTTTACAGTCACCACTCTGCCCTTCTTCTACCACTATAAAAATAAACAAAATCATGAATCCTTCTCCTTTGAGGTAAGACCATGATCTTAGAAAAACAAAAGCTCTAACCTTCATTATTTCAATATAATGAAAAGTAGAATCCAAATCTGACTTTTTAATGACTTAGAAATGGACTTCTTTTTAATCTTGGTTTACCTAAGGCATTCCACACATATATTTCCAAGAGTTACAGTAGTTTGTGGGTGATGACTTTATGCATATCGAGTTACATGTCATGATTTCTTATTGGTATTGATTTGATATATGGTAATTTATTCTCTTGAAAAATTAAATCATTTTAGAATGTTCAAAGAAACAAGGCTCAATACAAGGCTTTATTGATATTTCATTCAAAAGATTTCCAAGGGCCCTAGATGGCAAACATAAGAACATTATAAACTACATTCTGAATTTCTATCCTTTAAAGTCATTTCTGAGACTGGTTCTACAATCATCCAAAATATGTGGATCCAGATACACTGTGAGTTTTAAAAAGAGAATCTTCATAGCTTTTAATCTGTTTCCTAAATGATTTATTTTTTCAAGGCCAGGAATAGCTGAAAATGATCTGTACCAAACAATGAATCATGGAACACCACATCAAAAACTAATGATGTATGGTGATTAACATAACATAATAAAAAAATTAAAAAAATGATCTGTACCTAAATTTGAATTTTTTGGAGGAAAATAATGGAATTGATTCTTAATTTATTTCTTAGTAAGGGGAGGGTTTTGACAGCAATTGTTTTAGTTCCTGATCAACTCATGTCTCCTTGTTAAATTGTTTAATTGTAAATAATGTCAAACATTACAAAAATAAAATAGTTTCCAAGAACATCCATATATCCTTTACCCAGATTCTCCTATTGTTAATATTTTCTCCCCTTTGTTCTCTTTCTTGATAAATACATAATTTTTTCCTGAACTTTTTGAGGGGTAATTTGCTTTAGTCATAGCCCTGTAACTCTAAATATTTCATCACGTATCTCCTAAGAATAGGGATATTCTCCTACATAATCACAAATTCATGCCTTTTAATTGAATTTGAATAGGAGACAGCTTACCATTGGTAGTTTCATCACTTCCAAAATGCTGTCGGTAGAAGAGCATCAACTCAATATTGTAGCATTTGTAGATGACCACAAGCAGTACAAGGAGGAGGAAGATTGCTCCCAGGCCTCCTGCAAGTTCAATTTTGTAGATTAAATCTGGAACCAACAGAATAAACAGGAAAGGGTAATTAAATCAGCAACACTTCAGATCTTTCCATATTTCTAGTCTGTAAGATGCACAGCCCTTTCTGCTTTTCTTTCCAAAAGATTCTTGCTTAATGCAGTAAGTAGCTTTGTTCTTGACACATTTGTGTAAATCAAATTTTCATAAAATTAACTCTTTTCTAAAGATTTGAATACTTTTACTGTTGAAAGTGATGTCTATTTGAAAAGGAATAGTCACTCCCAATTTGTTCTGAACACATCTAGATCTTACATATATACTTTTATTTTAAGTGTATCTCAGGGAACTGTTAGAACTGTCTTTTTCTGGGTCTAGGGCCAATATTTTGTTGTTTCTGTTAAATTATCTGATTGACTTAGTAAGATTACCATCTAGTACTTCTCAGGCCACAGGCCCTATTCTTCTACATGAGAACAGCATCATAAAATTATTCTCAGAATCAAATAAAATTGAATGAGCTTGCAAGATTTAACTGTTTCATTTAACCCTAGGAAAATCCAATAGACGGTAACCTGGGAAAATTAGCTTATCCATTTTCCCTACTTATTTGAATAAATGACTATTATATGTATATAATATAATATGCCCAGTGGGGCTAAAATTGAATGAGAAACCCAGGCTAATAATTTGGACTATTCAGCCAACACTAGGCTACCTGATAGTAGCCCTAAGCTGCTCCAGTGGGGCACCTCTAGAACTCTAATAGCTGGAACAATTAAATCAACACATAATGGAAGGAGACAAAATGTATCCTAGGCTCAGAGAATGTGACTTACTTGTAGCTTAATTAGTGATCTTAACAAATCTAAGGGGTATCATCAAAAAAAGGGGATAGTACCATGGAATTTAGAGAAATGGGAAGTCAGAAGAGAATTTAGAAGGTGAATTCAGCAATGTCTAGAAGAGAAATGCTGAATCTGAAAGACACCAGACCAGAGACATATTTTCCCCTGTGAAATAGGGATATTCATTCATCTTAACATAACATAGATAAAATTGCCTAAAAGATTAGCTAACCTCCCCTTAATTGAATTCCATAATTACTAACTGACTTTTTTTTTTTTATTGCCAGTTCTGCTTACCATGTAGCTAGAAACTGGAAAAGAGAGTGACATTCTAGTTTTTATATCAGTTGTTTATGAGTTTGGTTGACATCAATCAGCCTCCCTGGATAGGTTAATTCTGGGACACTGTCAAAATGAAATTTCTGACCATGACAGACTGCCACTCCTGAAGGTTCTTAACAACCAGATTGTCAACCTTTCCCTGGGGATATCCCTGTCTCTACATAGGCTTATTGCTTAAGAGAAACTAGTCAGGCTCAATATGACAATTAAGATTAAGGAAAAAGATAAACATATATAATATATACTACATATAATTTTTACTATACATATACTGCATAGTATATATAATATACTGCTACATATATATAATAGATACTACAAGTAATATATATGATACATAAAATTTTCAACCAGTCTATTAATCTATTCTCTAAGTAAACCTTTAGGGCAAGAATCCTATAGGGCAAATTTATAGATGAAGAATCCGAGACTCAGTAGTTTAATTCACTTACTCAAGGTCATACACCTAAGAAGTGGCCAAGATTGGACTTGAGCCTAGATATTCTAATTTCAAATTCAAGACTCTTTTTGTTACATGACAGTTTTATAAGCCTCAGCCTTCAGGTTCCCTTTTGCTTCTCCCTTTTGCTCCATAGAACTGTTGGTAATGCTTCATGAGAACATGTAACTTGCAGTAAATTTTGGCTCCTCTGCCCTTTTAATTACAAGGAAATAACCTAAACTACAATTTACCAGGCAGAATGAAAGGACTGAGTAGGTCTCAGGCACTTCATTAAAGGATACTGAAGAATTCTGTAGCTGTACCAAAGAGAAAAGAGGGACCCCCTGGAGTCCAGGATATGAAGAAAAGATTTAGGTTTCATGGGGAGAGAGGGAATTTGGTCTTGGAAAGGAGGTAGAGTAAGAGAAGAGATGGTAGAAGCCAGAGACAACATGGCCAATCAGAAAAGCCACTGAATGGAAATGTAAGAAGCATAAATAAATGTCATTCTTTTTGAATAAGGAGAGAGGGGGAATGATGGAGAAAGGAAGGGAGTGGGGCTGCTGTGAGGGACAAAATATATTAATAAAGAATATCATGAGCAGACCCATAATGAGTAGGGATAGGAAATGAATCTATCTCTGTCCTGCCTGCTGTGAGAGGTAGTCATTATGAAAATTGAGCCACAGGGTGCCTGGGTGGCTCAGTTGGTTAAGCAACTGCCTTCGGCTCAGGTCATGATCCTGGAGTCCCGGGATCAAGTCCCGCATCGGGTCCCTGCTGAGCAGGGAGTCTGCTTCTCCCTCTGACCTTCCCCCCTCTTATGCTCTCTCTATCTCATTCTCTCTCTTAAATAAATAAATAAAATCATTAAAAAAAAGAAAGAAAATTGAGCCACAATATTTCAGGTAAAAAAATCCTATCATACATTAGATCTGCTTCCTGCCCTCTATATAGAAAGTAGCTCCCCAGGAGCCACTGCATACCTCTATATGGGTGGTAAGGCAGGCTTGCTTATGAGACCTGTGTGGGGCTACAATATCAAAATCTTTGCTTGTTTTCTCACCATCTTACATCAATTATGCATTCTTAACAGCCAGTGTTAAATTGACAGAGCAATGATTTTTTTTTTTTTTGTTACTCTAGAAACTGACTTCTCTCTGATCTTAGGACATTGATTGACTTGATTCAACATGTTTTTTCCTGCTATAAAATGTTCATTTTATGTTGTAAATATTTTGGACTCTTTCACTTTCCATATAGTTCTCTCTCTGTCTCTCTGGTCAGAATAGACTTCAACTGCTTTCAAAGTCACCAAATGGGAATTTTTTTCAGCAATTTCTATGCTATTTACAGAGTAGAGTTGCTATTAGGTAGATGGAAAACTTCAGCAGTAGGAACAATTTGTGCTCCCAAGTAGCAGACACCTTTTTTCAGAAGTAAATTTATGGAAGAAAATCATGGTGTGAAAAATACCTTTGTGGTTTGGGGGTCCATTTTATAAAAATGTCTTTGAAAGACATTACCTAATGATGGCTGTTTACGTTGAAAACTGTGTACCTACTCCCTGAGACTCAAACAGTATTCTTTCATCCAGCCCAGGCCGAGACATTAAAAGGGAAACATGCATCCTATAATCAGAGAGCAGAATTGCCATCACCCAGATTACACCTGGCTTTTCTTTTGTCTTCTGTTTTCAATTGCCATTTTCCATCTCAGTAGGATCTATACTTCTATTTCCTGAGAAGGCAAAAGTCATTTTATTTGGACTGTGTCTTATATACACATCACAAGGATAGCTATATCTAGAACAGCAAATATTTATGGGATTGTAACTTTTTGTAGGCACTAAAAGTACAAGTGTAGTTCTTTTTAACCTTCTTAGTTTGAACCCAACTATTTCTTCACTTTGAACATGAAGATCAGACATTATAGAATGGGACAAATAGCAGTTGAAGCCAAGGGACTAGAGAGAGGGAAGACTGGAAATGTTTTGAGCTAGCTCATAAGTTGGGAAGCAGGTTAAGCGATCCCACCTGAGGGTTTCCTATGGCGATTGGGGATTCAGCATGGGGCAGTAGCACCGGGAATGAACAGAGAGATTCAGTGATAAGATTTGTTTGTGGGAAAGGCAGTATGTGCAGAGAAGAAACAATTACCAGAATTTCCTTAGCATAAATTCAGTCTTGGTTCACACACACACACACACACACACACACACAAATAGGATAGACTTCTTACTAAAATATTAGTTGTAATTGTTGATAATAGTTCATTAGGGAGTGAGCAAGTGGTAGGCACAGGTAAAAGATGCATAGGTAAGGGTCGTTTTGCTCTGAGAAAGCCTGACCCTGTTAACTGGATATATTAGACACGAGTTTTCATCTTATGAAAGGCCTTTTCACTGTATGAAAGGATTCATCAAATGTTTCTTCTCTGTAATTATCACTTAGGGCATTTTCAATGTCTGACTTACAGCTCATCAGGAATTTATTGTTCCATAAAAAAAGCCATACTCATATTCCAGGTGGAAACACTGCAGCCACTGAGGCCAGGCTATGCTGTGATAAAGTTTGAAATGTTCAAATCCAAAAGAAACATCTGAAGTTTTGCAAGACAAGCCAGAGCTCAGTCTGATTAAAAATATTGGAGCAGAGCCATAAAGCTTCTCACTCTTTTCTGGAGCTCTACCATATTGTTGAGAGCTCCTAAGGAAAATGGAATAAGCGAAGATGAACTGTATCATTTTGCAAAGCACAGTGAAAAAATTTAACTGCTACCTAAACAGAGAGTGCACACTGGTATACCATGCCTCCCAAAAGGTTTTATTGTTCTATATAATATTTCCAAAAAGTGAATACTAATATTTAAAAACCAAAAGATTGCATACCTAGTCTTTCAACTTAACTTGAAAATTCAGAAATTCTCTTATCCCTGGGTTTACATTTCAGCAAGCATAGCAATAATCTCCTAGGAAAGAGTAGTGATTACCCCTTTAAGATGAGACATGTTTTCTCTAGTCTGTGTGTTTTTTCCTAATATCCAGCCTCTTTAAAAAAAAAATTCACTATCTGCCTGGCCCCTGAGGTATTTAAGTTTTCAACCCCCAATCTGGAAAATGAATTTCTTTAAAAAGAGAAATGCATTTAAATAGCCCAGGGGAGACACTAGTCAAGAGAAAAATCACAGATAAATCCTTTTTTTTACCAATCCCTGTTATCTATCTCCATCCTATTGCTCTGGCCCTCTAGGAGGAGCATTTTCACCCAACAAATATTTTTGAGCACCTACTATGTTCTATGCCCTAGGGATACAGCAGTAAATAAGGTAGGAAAAGTCCCTGTTCTCATGAAGTTTATATTGTAGTGAGGTGGGGGAGATAAAAAAATAAATACCCCATCCCGCAACCCACTTCCGTGATGGGCATTAAGGAGGGTACATGATGTGATGAGCACTGGGTGTTATATGCAACTGATGAATCATTGAACACTTCATCAGAAACTAATGATGTACTATATGTTGGCTAATTGGATTTAAATAAGTAAAAAAAGAAGAAAATAAATATGTAATAAGATATCAAATAGTAATAAATACAATAAACAGAAATAAAACCAAGCAAGAGAAAAAAAGAAAAAGAAAGTGATGGTTAGTTCATCAGTGAATGATTAGATCAAGAAAATATGTCATACATATATATAATTGAATATTATTTTACTTTGAAAAAGAAGGAAATCCTGTCATTTACTAAAACATGGATGAAACTGGAGGGCATTATGCTAAGTAAAGTAAGCCACAGAGAGAAAGACAAATATTATACCGCATGGTATCACTTATATGTTTATCTTTATCTAAAAAAAAAAAACCCTGAAGTCATAGAAAAAATGAGTAGGAAAATGGTTGTCAGGGGCTGGGAGAAAATAGGGAGAAATTGGTAAAAGGGTGCAAACTTTCAGTTGTAAGATGAATAAGATCTGAGAATCTATTTTTTTAAAGATTTTATTTATTTTATTTGAGAGAGAGAATGAGAGAGAGAGAGCACATGAGGGGGGGAGGGTCAGAGGGAGAAGCAGACTCCCTGCTGAGCAGGGAGCCCAATGCGGGACTTGATCCCGGAACTCCAGGATCATGACCTGAGCCAAAGGCAGTTGCTTAACCAACTGAGCCACCCAGGCGCCCAAGATCTGAGAATCTAATGTATAATATGGTGACTGTAGTTGATAACATTGATTGTATAATTGAAATTTGCTAAGAGGGCAGAATTTACATGTTCTCACCAAAAAAAAAAAAGAAGAAGAAGAAGAGGAAGAAGAAGAAAAAGAAAAGAAAAAGAAGAAGAGGAAGAGAAGAAGTAGAAGAAGAAGAAGAAGAAGAAGAAGAAGAAGAAGAAGAAGAAGAAGAAGAAGAAGAAGAAGAAGAAGAAGAAGAATTAGAAGAAGATGAAGGTAAATATGTGTGGTAATGGATGTGTTAATTAATTCAAAAGGGGTATCCTCTCACAATGTATATGTATATCAAATCATCACATTGTATACTTTAAATATCTTACAACTTTATTTGTCAATTTTACCTCAATAAAGCTAAAAATTTTTAAACAAAGGAAGTGCAGATACCTTGATATATCTGGTCATCACAAAGAGAAGGCAGAGAAACTGAAGCAGTCCCTTCCCCCAGATCTGGCAGTGAAGGAGATGAAATGGACCTGGCACACTGATTTAAACTGTACAACAATTTCTAAAATTCTAAAAAGAAAACAAAAAACAAAAACAAAGAAAGTGATGGGCAGTATTATTTTATATAGTGTGTCCAGGAAAAGCTATTAAGTAGGTAATATTTAAGCTGAGACCTATATGAAGAGTGAGTGAGTCATGGGAACAGCAGGGGGAAGAGTGTTCCAGGCTCAGGAAATAGCAAGTGCAAAGACCATCAGCCAGGACTGTGCTTGGTGAACACAAGAAATAGAAAGGAAGCTAGTGTGTGTGATGTTTGAGACAGATAGGCAGAATGTATTAGAAAATGAGATCAGAAATCAGAAAAGATTATATCATGCATTGTAGGCCATGGCATAGATTTGGGATTTCATTCTGAGTGTAACAGAGAGGGTTCTATAATTGGAGGGTTCTGATTAGAGGAATATGATCTGACTTACATATTAAAAGGATCATTCTGGCTACTGTGATGGGGGACTGTGACTATATGGGGACAAGGAAGAAGCAGGGAGACCAGTTAGGAGGCCATTGCAGTGATCCAGGCAATTGATCTTGGTGGCTCAGACTAGGGTGGTAACAGTGAAGGTGGGGAAAGTCATCAGAATCTGGACATGTCTTGAATGTAGAGCCATTGGATCTGCTGGTGGACTAGACTGAGTCCCAGGATTTTGGCCTGAGCAACTGGAAGGATGGTGATGGAGATGGAGGAGGCAACTGGAGGATCAGGTTTACAGGGAGGAGAAATCAGAATTCTTGTTTGGGACAAGGGAAGCTTGATATGCCTACTAGATAGGTCTACTAGTGGAGTTTTTGAGTAGTTGTTGAATAGGCCGTTAGGAATGTAACACTGGAGTTTAGGCAAGAAAATCAGGCGGGCTGCAGATATAAATTTGGAAGTTGTCAGCATATATGTAAGTAAGCCTGTGAGTTGGAGATGGAATGAAATCATCTAGGGAGTAAGTGAGGGGACCAGAACCCTGGGGAACTCTAATATTTGGAGATGAGAAAGATGAGAATTAATATTCTCAGTTATTCATGCTTTAGATACGTTTCCTTGCAGAAGCCATGGGAGATGGCAGTTATACAGTGTGCTTTGGTTTATACTGTCAGATTAGAAATTTTAAGGGCTGCTAGTAGTTGCTTTCCTTATTAAAGAGAAATGGATTTATTTTTAAACTCAAGGCTATTCCTATCTCTGCTGACTGAATGATAGGAAACCTACTACCACCATTATTTTTCCTCATAGTAGTAACAGTATGTATTTGTTGCACAATTTTTTGCTTAATGTTTAATGTTTCTCTTTCTTTGCACTCTGTCTACTCTGAAGCCCCACACAGGCTTGGGGATGTTTATCTTATTCATCACTCTATTTCCCAGTACTTAGCACAATACTTGCTATACATAATCTTCAATAATAAAAGATAACATTCATTCATTACCAGATGGGTTCTAGGTACCTATTAGTGGTCAGACATTGCCCAAGTTGCTGAGGACACAGAGGTGCTGCAGACTCTGGCTTGGATGATCTCTAAGCCTAAAATAAGACTAGAATGAGCAGCAACAAAGTGATCTTTGCCATAAGGTATCTGGACATGATCAATGTCTGCCCATTACGTAGGTGGACTATGTGGTTGCCTGGGGCACAGGAGAAGTTATTCAAGTTCTGCATAATAGCAAACACTGAGAGTGACATATTTCACACTATATCATTATCATTTGAGCCTCAAAGTGTCTCTATAATGTAGATATCATTATCCATGTTTTACAGATAAGAAAACTGAGGTTCAGGGTGCTTCATCAGGTAAGTTAGTCCTGCTGAACCAAGTAGTTGAATCAGTGGCCGAACCAGGATCTCTTCAACCAGGGTCTCCTGATTTAACTTTCCATATTAGACTCCTTTATATTTAAAAACTCCATTATTTTAAGATGGAATCAAATCCAGCTGAGTAAGAAATGGTACTAGAGAGATAAAAGCATTATTTTCAGAATAATGACATTTTCCTGCTTCCCCTAGAACTGCTTGCTGGTCAAGGTCAAGTATTAGGGTTGGCTGGAAAATAGAAATTCCATCTTGGTTAAGAGGTACAACTAGTAACCTTGTTGACTGAATCTGTTCTATTGCTCTATAGCCTAGACAACAAAACACAGATTGAGAACATTTGTTCTGTTACAGTTACAAAAACCTTTGCCAATTGCACACATACAGAAATATTTAGTTTTTTGCAGTAATCAAGAGTTGTGGCAGGGTTAAGAGCCAATCTCAGAAGCTGCTCCAGCTGTTGGGATTGTTGTTCCTATATTTGCTTTTATCTCCTTTATCTGTAATTTAGTTTCTTTTCTTTGTCCGTTATATACAATATCCACCCTATCTGGAACCAAATTTAGAGAGGGATTTCCATAAATGCCAAAATATTTTAAAGGATATGCACCTGTCAGGGGCCTCTTAACAGCACCAGGTCATATCATGAAATATTGTGTATAATCTTTATTATAACAATTACAAGAATATTATGATATCTCTTCATTATTTTTATTTATATTTAGTCCGGGAATAAAAAAGTGGCTTTGTTTCTTTTCCAATAATAAAATCCCTAGTTTCTCATTTAAGCAATATAAGATGGTGAAGTACAGAGAAAAATTTGAATGTCAATACCTATCAAATTTTATGTAACACTTATAACCAAGGTACATTTTATCTCACTGAATTTAACACATAATAATATTTCATTTTATTTATCTACTTCCTAATGGATAGAAGATTACAGGCATTTTATGCTAATAACCATAACAAAAGAGATACTTTTTCCTTAAAAAGACAAAATATTCAATAGAAGTTCATGCTAAATGATAAAATAAGGCCAGAAAGTATATTTAACTTCAATAGTTACTTGGTAGCTAAACAAACCATAGCAATAGTTATAAAAATAAATACCCTTTTTACGTAGCAGAACACTGGCATGTTTCCGTCCATTTCGGTTTTCCACATGGCAGGTATAATTTGCCAGGTCAGCCTCCACCACTGAATCAAAGATGAGTGCCAATTCAACTTCTTTTTCTCCAAGATGCTCTTTGAGGAGCCTGAAATAAAGACAGTATTCTTGGTTGAATTGGTTTGACTTGGGGAGAGAGCAGCCATGCAAAACTTGCAGTATGTAGCTCACAAGGTCTCCAGTGGGCATGGAGAATCTTAACTCGGTGGTATGTATGGAACCTTCAACATGAAAACACAAAAAGTGACTCTTGATGTGAAGATCAAATGGAAAAGGAAAGAAGTGAGGAATTCACTCAGCAAAAAGAAATATTACCATGCCAGTAGGCTTTGATAAATGAAGCCAACATGATTTGTGTGGCAAAAAGGAGGAAACATTGAGCTCTATGTTCTAAGCTGAATTTATGAAAACAAATTAGATTTTTGCACCATGCCATGAAGGGAAAAAATTGATAGGTGTAGTGTTTGTGTTAGACGTTAGAGTTTTGACAACAGGGGGTAAGAAGGTAAAGAAATGAGCCCTGAAAATGGTTATCTTATAAAAAGTAAACTGAAAGTGTTTAGTGGCCTTCTATCCCCAAATATCCATAAGAAGTCTGACCTTTACATTCCTCTTGCATTTGTCCAATGCAAGCACGTGTTCTGTGCCCTAACCTGCCAATGATGCTAGCCCATTGCCATGGCCCTGCCTTTTCCAGATGCTGTTCCCCGTTTGTCTTTCTCCTTTCTCCCCTCACAGGGAAAACCCTCCCCTATGTGACATTTTCTCACAGTCCTGCTTTTTGCTTTCTCAAGTGAAGTTGCAGAGGGCCTTGAATGGCAAGGAATAGGTGTTCTTTACAGAGGAACTGAGTTGCCAGAAACCTTTCCTAAGAAGTGTGTTTCCTGTTTCTTCAGAGAGATATTCTCAGCAGTGGCCAGCTGCCTCCTGAGTGAGGTGAAAGTGGGTACCCTGCTGACTTTTCTGTTTCCTGCTTTTTTAAAAAAAAGATTTTATTTATTTATTTATTTGAGAAAGAAAGAGAGCGAGAGAGCAAGAGAGAGCATGAGCGGGGGGGGGGGGCAGAAGGAGAGGGAGGAGCAGACTCCCCACTGAACAGGAAGCCCAACTCAGGGCTGGATCCCAGGACCCTGAGACCATGACCTGGGCCCAAGGCAGACACTTAACTGAATGAGCTATCCAGGCACCCTGTCTCCTGCTTTTGACCAGAGAAAAAGTAAATTGCAAGTCTAAGTGGTAGCAATCATGCCTTTAAGTTCTGCGGTGAGGTTCTTTTTTAAAGATTTATTTTATTTGAGAGAGAGAGCAGGGGGAGGGGCAAAGGAGGAGGGAGAGTGAGAATCCCCAAACAGACTCCCCGCTGAGGATGGAGTCTGATGCAGGGCTCCAACCCAGGACCCAGAATCCAGTTGGATGCTTAACTGACTGAGCCACCCAGGGGCCCCTGGGGTGAGGTTCTCAAATACATGTATTTGCAAGATAGAAAACTGGAGCACTGGAGTTAATTCTCATATCCTTTTTGGACACCTGGTTATAAATGCAGAAAAGAACCCTCTGATTTATCGGCATTTAGCAGAAAGTTGGAAAAGACAACTATGCTCAGAGAAAAATGGATTCTAAGTACAGGCCTCCAATTTACAAGTTTAAGCTTGACCCTTACAAAGTCATTACGTCATTGGTGCCTTAATTTAACTCAGCTTTAAGTTGGGAAAAATACCTACCCTACTCAACTTTGTCGTGAGGGTAAAATGGGTTAAAGTAATTTAAAAATTAAATAGCATTTTATACATGCAAAGCAATGTTAATAAACATCAACATTTCATTATCAAAAGTAGATTGTTTACATGTTGGCTCCTACAAAAATATTTATATTGATATTTAAAATTCAATTGGCTTAATCTCTTCTGGTTCTCTTTTGAGAGAAAGAAGACTTAAAGTTGGGTTGGTGGAGGAGAGTTCCTGGAATCTGAGTCTTCCACACAGATATCTGAAGCCCAGATTATATTCCAAATAGCCATGCTTTTAAAACTAACCCTGTTTCTGTACCCTCCCAATGATACACATATCTGAGAGTTGATAATACTGGCATTTGTAACTTAAGTCTCCTGCCCTTTATGTTTATGTACCATTGCTGAACTAGACAAATGTAAGAATTTTCTTAACCATGTTTTACTGGTAGTCTATTAACTTTTTCTTCCTTGATAAAGTTGTAGTTTTCCTCTCTCAACATATACTTAACCAAGGAAAAAATTAGAATTTGCCATCTTCACGGTTTATATTGAATTTTACTTTCTCCATTTTCTCTGTGCTATGGGTAAATCCCACTATACTCAATTCTTTTACTTCTGTGTAACCTGCTATGGAAGAACCCTCTTTAGTGCCAGAAGCTGCTTAAGCACCACAAATTAAGTTTGATTTAAAGCTTCATGTGTAGGGCAGCCACAGCCTCTGCCAGGCATGAGGCAGAAAGCTAATCCTGTCCTTCCAGACCAGGCCTTTCCCTCTTCATTTCTAATACAGTTTCCAAAAACAGCTCTTCACAGGCTGCAGAAAGAATCTGGAGGGAGGAATTGAAAAATGATCTGTCATCTATCTATTAATATATTTGAGGTGTCTTAATTATCAGCTCTTGAAAATCTAGAAGTGACTTGCTTTTTGGGAGTTAAAGAGTCAGCTGATGTTTATCTCTACTAATCACTCAGTAGAGCAATCATAATTTCCTAGCAAATATTGATATATAACAATCTACCAGTGATTGTCAGTCACCAGCTAAGTGCCTAGCTCTGGACTAGACATTTGGAGTAAGATAAATATAAACATTAAAAGACCAGGTCCCTGGGGTGCCTGGGTGGCTCGGTCAGTTAAGTGTCAGATACTTGATTTTGGTTCAGGTCATGATCTCAGGGTCATGAGATTGAGCCCTGCATTGGGCTCTGTGCTGGGTGTGGAGCTTGCTTAAGATTCTCTCTCCCTCTGCCCCTCCTCCTCAGCACTTGCATGTGTGTACATGCTCTCTCTTTCTCTCTAAAAAAAAAAAAATAAATAAATAAAAAAGACCAGGTCCCTGCTCCCAGTAAGCATTAAAATTTAAAAAAGAGAAAAGATCTACAAAGTTGAAAAAATATACACATAATGACGTAAAGAAGAGTGGTACAGTCATGTTTACAACAGCTTTCAAAGACGGGAGAGACTATTTTGACTAAATTAACTGGAAAAGGCTTGAGAAGAGTCTGCCTAGACAAAAAGAATAAGGGAGTGTTTTCTAGGATGGAAGATAAGAACCGGTTTTTGCAGAATATGTGAAAGAAAGACACTAAAGAGGCTGGCTTTGGAATGGAGGATACAACTGAGAGGATCCTGGGAGATACTTCAAGTAACTTCAGAAGCATTTTATTCCAAGGATTAACACTGAAGGCAAATTATATGCAACAGCAAACACCAGAAAAAATAGAAAATAATAAGTGCAGGTGACAGAAATTATCATCTTCAAAACTTTTATTTAGTCAAGACCTATTCTTAAAAACTAATACTAAAATAGCTTGGAAGTTGTCATTCTCATCCTTACAATAAGAAAAACAGCTGAAGAAAATTAAAATTAACAATTATTAGATCCATCAGAGAGTTGAGGTCACAGGGTAAACCCCTGCTCCAGAAACTTCAGACACGCAAATACTGAGAATCACAATATAGTGGGAGCAGAAACCAAGGAGCAAGAACCAGTACAGATAGAAACAAACTATAACTGATAAGTCACTGTAGGGCCACTACACACTAACCAGAAAGTTTGAAAACTCCATTAGATCTAATCTTTGGGGTACCCCATATTTTCAAGAGGTTTGTTTCTAGGAGCACTACCAGGGTCTTAGGGTGAAGATCACAGAAAAGTTTCCCTATGTTTCTGTCAGGGAATTAAGAAAAGCAACTATCTTGAAATGAGCCCAGAGCACTCCCTTCTTCTTAACAAAGGCCTGCCCAGAAAGGAAACTCTTTTATCAGAGCCTAAACTACTTGGATTTTACCAAACCCAACCTTCCTGAGGGAAGGGAAATACAATACCCAACTCCAGCCCCCTCAAACTTTCCTGTCTCACTTAAAAAGAGAAAGAAAGCTGAGAAGAAGTTGTGAAGGTCAAAGTTCAGAGTCACAGGCTCACTAAAGGACTGAGACTTTATCATAGGATTATAGAATGCTTACCACCACATCAATCAGGCTCCTGTATGATAACAAGGACTTTCAGCTGAAAGGACTGCAAAGCTCAGACCCTATTTAAGAAGGAGTCTCTAGGAAAACACAAAGAAAACAGTGGAGACATAAACAAGTACATTATAGGAAATTTTAGCTTCCTACACCTACAACTAGAGCAAACACTAAACCCAGCCTAACAACACAAACATAAAATCTCACACTAAAAGCCTATTTACTTCAGTTCCTCTTACCTGATACATAATATGTGGTTTTCAAAAACAACAAAAAGTTACCAAAAAAAAGTTAAAAAGGAAAAAAAAGAAAAAAAAACCCAACAACCCCCCACAAAAAAAACCCCAAAGAAACAAAAACCCGAAGAACACAGTCTGAAGAGACAAAACACGCATCAGAATCATTCAGATATGGCAGAGATTTTGGAATGATCAAACTGGGAATGCAAAATAACTGTGTTCAATATGTTAAGGGATTCAATGGGAAAAGTGAACAATATATATCAACAATGGGTAATGTCACCAGAGAGATGGAAACTCTAAGGAAAATCAAAAGAAAATGATAGAAATAAAAACACAGTAACAGTAATAGAAATAAAGAATGCTTTTCATGGGCTCATCAGTAGACTGGATAGAGGTGAAGAAAGAATTAGTGATCTTGAAGATACATGAATAGAAATCTCCTAAACTAAAATGTAAGGAGTAAAATGTCTGAAAAAATGGAATAAAATATGAAAATCCCAAAGGATAATTACAAAAAGGGTAAGACACGTGTAATGGAAATACCAAAATGAGAAGAAAGAAAGGAATAATTAGAAATATTTAATTAGAGCTGAAAATTTTCCAAAGTTAAAGACTCCAAACCACAGAATGTAGGAAGCTAAGAGAATAC